CTCGAACAAAAATTGATGTTATCATATTTGAAAATGACCTACAAATAATCGTGTACTAACAGTGTATTTAAAAGCAAAAGGATTGTATCTGATTTCATACAAAAATTATCTATGCGATAGAAGCCAATCATTATTAATGGCTTCATCATCACACAAGGACTAAAATAATTAAAAGAAGGAGACAACGTTGTCAGTATTCATTATTCGCTACAACTCTAATGCTTGACATGTTTCACAGGAAAATATTAATTGCACCGAACTCATTTAAGTGCTGTGAAATACTCTTCGTCACCTGAATTTTAAATTCAAACGATGGCACAGATGAAGATGTTAATGAAAAACATAATAACTTCCCATCCGTCGATTCATCAGATACATTGATGAATATTCATAAACAAACCATTTCGTTTTACTAACTGCTGTTCTCTTTAGATTCATGTATAACACATATTGAAGTACTCACAAACTTTACATTAGTTTATAATCAGTTTATGTAGAAAAATTGCAACCCGACGGAAGTTTTTCTTGAGAAACTTAAATGAACTAGCATAATTATAAATAATTCCAGTGAGAATATTCATTAAAAAAATGACCAAGAATGTGTTTCACATTCTAGAGGAATGATTTCGCTTCTGAAAAAAGTACTTTCCTTTTTCTGAAATGTACTTCGTCTTTTTCAATCGAGAATCCTGAAAAATACATTCCACTGCTTCTGGTACGTATTTTCTTAATATTGAGACTCTCCACATTAGAGATGTGTACCGTCGCTAAAAACTGAGACGCGGGCCGCCACCGCTCTGAAAGTCTTTTCGTTGAGCGGGGCGGTCGTCTCTTGCTTCGTCAAATGAGAGATAAAATCGTGCCACCTCACTGAGCGACCGCTTCGAACTGACTAGAAGACTTTCTTGCCGACTTGTTACCGATTTATTGTACAAATGTTTCTGAATAAAAAGGTGCCTCATTTATTAATCAATTATGCATGAACAACAGCATAACAGTCATAGAGCCATGAAAATATATTCATTCATCAAATTTAACTTGATATACGTAGAGAAGATACCAAAAATCTGCTACCGCAAAAAAAATTGGCATATCTACCATGACTTTCGAAACAGTGAGCTAACTCTTTTTCTGATGATAGAGCGACGTTCCAAGCTTGTCTACATAAATCAACAGCTTATTGACGTACTTGAAACCGAGCATGATCTACTTCAATAGAGACTTCAGACTTTTTCTGGTACTCTCTTTCTAGTGGTTAGCCATTAAAACATAAAATTTATCTAAAATTTGTTTAATGTATCTTATTTTCTCGAGTTTTTTCTCTGTCCGATATTACACAACGGAATTTTCTATTCTTCCAACAAATAATGGTGTAACGATTGAAATGCTCTAAAGCGTCGAATTACTATAGAACTTCACTGCAATTCGACGTTTCATATTAAGACCCCAAGGTCGGCATTTGTCAGTAAAAATAGAAAATTTTTTTAAGACAATGATCACCAAAGATAATTCACAAACTGAGATACGTCAATATGCTTTTAGGTGTGTTTTATGTTTTTATAGTTGGCTACAAAAAAGATTTATTGTCGAAAATTTCCTGTAGATGGACAAAGTCATTATAAAGCTTCTGTGCAAGAATATCCAGAAAGGGTACGTAGGATATCTTGGAGCTGGATTCGAGTATTCCATAACTGGATTCGCCTGTAGGTTATACCAAACAGTGAAAAGGGTATACCAAGATAGATCTCGACGAGATCTATCGATTCCACTACTTACTTTTTTCTAACACCTCCCTTCATGGACAAAACCGCAAAATACTGACAAAAAATAAGCAAAAAAAAAAGCATTTTCGGTATAGCGCAACTGGATTCGCCTACAGATTATACCAAAACGAGAAAATGGTATCCCAAGATAGAACTCGACGAGCTCTATCGAATGGACACCTTTCTGGCACGATGTGATGCTTGGATTCACGCCGAAATGGGAAATCCTGACAGAAATCCGGTTTTCCTGTATCTTGCACCTGGATTCGTCTATAGGTTATACCAAAGCGAGAAAA